AATTTCATAATAATACTAACAAAAACCACTTTTAGTTACTTAGCTAAGTATAAATTTTATACTTATCAAACACCCCCAAACTAAAACATTTGTTTGTCCTCGAATAAAACAAAACAAGACTTAAGGTATAAAATATACGACTACCTTGAGCAAATCACAATTAAGATATTCAACGTTGAATTACTTCCTATATGCCTCAAGTTCAAATTTGTTTGAAGAAATTAAATCAACTCACTATATATTTACGTGAATTAATTCTTGGACCACCCAACACATTTTAACGCGTCTAACTCAAAATAAGAAGAGGGGTGGGTTGGGATGAGATGAGATGAGATCGCCCCTTGGATGTTATGATAGAGAGTATCCAGCCTCACCCCTACTCAGCCAATCACATTCTTGCTTTATATTTTTCTTGACGATCCCTTCACTTCACTCTTCACTCATTTCTTATCTTTGAAATCAAACCGCACCCACCCCTCGCCTCTCCACACTTCATTTGTCTTCAATACTTCATGCTCCCTCCCCCTCTCTTGTTCCCTCGTGGTGCCCTCTTGATCATCCACTCTCTCTCTATCTAATGGCGACCAATTCTTGGAATTCCATTTGCCACAAAACACCACTGCGGCGGCGCCACTCCATAGATTGCCACCCTTCAACCGCCGCCTCGTATTCTTTTTTTCTGAAACCAACCACCACTTCTACCACCTCCCCTTCTCTCTCACACAACACTACTTTTGCCATCTCCTCCAAAGTTTCCTCCTCCTCCATCGCCACTCCCTCCGCCTCTCCCAACGTAACCTTCGACGTCCTCCAACAGCATTTATCCTCAAAAAACTTCCGGGAAGCCGACGAAGAAACTCGCCGCCTCCTCATAGTCCTCGCTGGAGAAGCAGCCCAGAAACGCGGCTATGTTTTCTTCTCTGAAGTCCAGTTCATTCAAGAATCTGATCTCAAAGCCATTGACGAATTATGGAAGCAGTACAGTGACAACAAATTTGGTTACAGTGTACAGAAGAAGATTTGGGAGAAAATGGACAGGGATTTCACTAAATTCTTCATCAAGGTTGGTTGGATGAAAAAGCTTGAATCTTCAGAAGTTGAGCAATACAATTACAAGTCATTTCCTAGTGAATTCATATGGGAAATGGATGAAAACACGCCGGAGGGTCATTTGCCATTGACAAATGCACTCAGAGGGTCTCAACTACTCAACACCATTCTAACCCACCCTGCTTTCCATGGAAATGAAGAGGAAAAAGAAGAGGAAAAGGAAGTTTCAGAATCAGGAGGAAAAGGTAAGGAATATGAAGGGTTGAAGGGACTGAGGAACAGAGTTTTCAAAACAGATTACAGCTTTTGAATCTGTCGGTGAAAACCGAGAAGACATGATTATTACTACACAGAAAAATCTGATGAACTATGTAATTTTTTTGCATTGTAAAAGTGCTGGTAAAGGTTGATTGACTGTTCTACCCATTTATCAATAAAGTGGAAGAAGATACCAACTTTGCACAGAAGAACAAAATCGGGCTGTTTGAACTTTTGCCTGTTTTCAATTTTAATTTTGTCGGACAGTGCTAAGTGTACAACATTTTTTGTTTTTGTTTTTGTTTTTTTTTTTACATCTTAGTTGACATTATCATTGTTGTCCACAGATGATTGGATGAAAAAATTGTCCAAATTTCAAATTGTCCAATAGTGTATTAGAGTGTAAACAACGAGCCCGAGCCCGAGCCCGTGCCGAGCCTGGGGTCATCAAGCTTGCGAGCTGCTCATAGGCACGGGCGCACGGCCCACAAGCCTAAAGTTTACGAGCCACAAATGCTTGGATGAAAAATTGTCTAAATTTCGAATTGTCCAATAGTGTATTAGAGTGTAAACAACGAGTCCGAACCCGAGCCGAGTCGGGGGTCGTCAAGCTCGCAAACTGCTCATAGGCACAGCCCACGAGCCTAAAGTTTACAAGTCGTGGACTCGTAAAAAATGAGAACAAAAAAGTAAAAAAAAAAATCGAGCTCGTGGGCTCGGCCCTTGAGCACGAGCTGAGCATAGGATTAGTGCATTTTCTTCAATTTTATTTATTTATTTATTAAGTTGATTAAACAAATGTTTTACTCTTGTATCTCATAGAAGTAACAACGCAAATTCATGAAATCTACAACATATAAATACTTAAAAACATTCCAAACATTCTCTGAGAAATAAACTGTTAGGGATTTTACCTTCCCCCTCCCGCTCCAAAATCAATGCAGAATTGCAGAATTATAAACGAGAAAACAACACCAGCAATTCAGAAGAAATGATGACAAAA